GATTTCAAATTTTACCAGATACGGTTGAAATTCCGTTGCCGCCAAACGGTTTCGTAACTAATCTATAAATGCCAAGAAGGCTCATGGTAACTAGCAAATTAAATAAATCAAATTTATTGTTGCACAAAATGTGAATGCATGTTGGTCAACAGAGACGTTGAGACAAAGAACACTAAACAAAGGTATTAATGTGAAGCTGACGTCTACTTTCCTCACTTAATCATGACCTTTCCTTAACGAGTAAGACGATACACGGTATAGAAGGCTCACTAAAGATTTATAAGAAGGGTCACACTAACTGCAGACGGAAAGATAGCAAAAGCACACACTTAGGATAGCAGAACTCTAGTAACGGGTTAGTCTTACACATAAGAAAAAATTGGGTTACATCCGGTCTATGGATCGGACCCAAAATCAACATATTAAAAATACGAAGCCGACCTACATAATCACATCACCTCAATAGGAAATGTAGATGTTTATCTCTCAGAATGTTTGGTAATATGTTTATTGTTTGTGATGTGTGTATATGTATGTATTAACACGATGTACTGAACGGGGCTAGAATAGCTTGAGCTACCTCATCCCTTTGTGATTTCAATTTCAATCACCTCAACTGCTTGACTCCGAGGAACATAGCGAATATCAAGGTGGACCTTTTCTTATAAATGTTGAACTTAATACTGTATAGGGTAATTTGTTCATGTCTAGGCAATTTCCCAAAGTTAAATGTTTTTGGAAGTTTAACACTTTAATTTCATACTGATATGGTCTCAATGAAATTATGATTACGATACCATAAACTAAAAACACATTTTAATATTGTGACAACAGCTTTATAGACAAAAGCCTAATGGACGACTCTTTGCCTGTAGAAATAGTCGTGTATTGCCAAAGCAGATAGTGACTTCCTATTTCATTTGTCCACGGATTTCACTTGATCCTGAAGTATAGTCAGCCCGTGAAATTTCTTCCCTCACACAACACTTTTCTTGCTAAGTAACGCTAAAGTGTTTTGCTGCTCCATGTAAACACCGCCATAACAACAAATGCATATGATAGTTCACGAGTCCCTATATTCCCTCTAGATATAAATTCAACTGGTTAATTTACCTGCTGCAGCACTGTGCACCCGCCACTCCAGACACTGACGACGTGCTGTTTGATCCAGCGGCCGCCGCCTTGTTTCTGAAGGAAAAACTCCACAAGCAGCCCACGCTGTCTGTGCTCTCCCGGGCTCCGCTCAACTCCTGTGACACATTCACTAATTTTAACATATTATGTAATGAAAAACGGTATTTTCTAAAATATATATTAATTTTATTATATATTATAATTTTTATCAATTTACGCCAAAGATAGGTTAGGTTAGATGTTTTGGTTCTGTTGGCAATTATTTGCGTTCGTACTACATGGGTGAAGCATTAGGAGGTGCGATTCGAGCACGTTAAATGAACGAAGCACACTAGTTCGTGAAAGTTCAAACGTAATTGGTTGAGTCGTTCGGTGTCTGAAATGCATGTGGATGCAGGTCTTTATAACAAATTTATAAACAATAGCTTGTACACAGGACTCGATTGATGACGTTAGACTTTCTCTCGAATGGTGCTTCGTTCACGTCCTCTGTTCATATTGCACCTCTATAAATGCTTCACTCACGTACTGCAAATAAAAATAATTGCAGGCCGCTCTCAACAACAACTGCAAAATGCTATCCAGCCGACAACCCCTGTTTATGAATGGAAAAACACTTCACACACGACTCTGCTGATGACGTTCGAACTTAAACAAAGCTTTGCTGTCTTCCTATGTTCAATTTGCATCTCTTTAACACCTAACCTTGGCCTAAGTATGCAAGAATTTTTAATTACAATAATTTATATTTGAAAAAGTACCGAATTTTGAACACACCGTACTTTTATGTTGACGAATTTATCTTTGGGGTGAGCGGCAGCCTGGATGAGTCTTGCCTGGCGACAGGTTACAAGGGCGGTGTTGCCGGCCCCGTCCTCGTAAATAAGGGCCAAATGAATGTTGATTCAGACGCCAAATCCTGTTTATGAATGAAGAACACTTTACATGAATGACAACTGATTTCACCGTTTCTCAGATACACTCACTCAGTGAAATAATAATAATAATAATAATAATAATAATAATAATAATAATAATAATATTTATAAACTTTCCATGAGAACTCAAGAAAACCAATCAGAACCAATAAACTCGAGAAAACAACCAAGAAATAATGCTTGATACAATTTTTTGAATTATTGTTAATTATCAGTTCAAATATATTAAGATCCAAATCTCCTGGAAAATGATTGCAAAGGAAAATAAAAGTCTATACACAAATTTTGTCATGAAAAGTAAAAATAATTAGAGTAGTTGTCTGTTATACAATAAAAAACGACAAATGGCGTGTACAGGAAGCGAGCGAGTAATGTGTTTCTGTTTCCTAAGGCGAGATAGTGTCTGATGTACGATCGAACATAAGTTGGTGATAAATCTTCTCTCCTTCTCTCACCTCCTTCCAAGCTCTCACTGCCTTAACCACTACTGAATATAACAACTGTGTACATAGCAACACACACATACACACGTATGCACACAAACACATGGTCTAGCTTTATTAGATAATAAGCTTTATTTACTAACCTGTTTTATTGCCAGGCTGATCCTTTATAGGTTGGCTGTGAGGAGCAGCAGCGGCCGTCAAGTGTGATTTACAGGTCGATTACCCTCTCCGGAGGTCAGCGCCCCGGCCATCAATGGGAACTTTTTACTTACAACACAGTTGTGAGGAAAAAAACAAGGATTTACTGCTGGTTCTCCACTTGACTAATCTGCGCCCATGGGTGCTTTTGGGTTAGGCTACAGGACAAAACTGTAATGTTTAGGCTTGTATTGCTATCAGACTACTTTACTGGTGTAGTTTTATCTTATTCCTTTTCTCACTTGTTTATATTATACACTGACTAATGAAATTTTTCATTAGTTGATACCGTGAATTGAATGATATTTCTTATTGGTTAATAGCCTAATTTAATACATTTATGATATTTCTCACTGCTTGATATCATAAATTGATTGCTGGTACTTCTCATCTGTTGATAGCCTACATGAACTGAGTGATGACTTGTAATTGGCGGATACCATGAACTTACTGATGATGCTTCTCAGTGGATTTTTATTATGAATTGATTTTGTTTCTCATTGATTGATGCCATGAACTGACTCATTTTTTATACCATAAACTGATTGACAGCATTGAAATTTCTGTCTTTCATCTGTGGCTGTAATCTAATTTGTATAACATCTAGGATCAACATTATGAAAAATAAAGATAATATAGTTAATTTAAGGATTGTATTCTTACCCATTGGTAAAGTACATTTGTCACCGGCTCACGTCAGAGTCCAACCACTGTATCACAGAATTATTAAATACTAAATGTCCCTCAGAGTGGGATAACACATCACATGTTAACTCTTCATCCAAGGAGGGAAATAAAAACACACATTAAAGTTTATTTGGAAGTCTACTTATAACACAACACAAACTTTACAGCATTATAAAAGTGTTAAAGATACTAACGATATCCTCTGTGCGACTCCAGACACCTTAACCTCTCTACATAGAAAAAATAAGTTCTCTAGTGTCCTCTCGCCAACAGCTAGCGGAACCACCGTTGAAAGACACAGTTACAGTCACACTGTACACATGATAATGTACACAATATTACAATGTACACAGGACAATTTACACGGGGGTTATAATGTACACGAATATTAACAGTTGATAGACATATTCAGAGTATCAGACATACTGGCACAGGGGTAGACCAGGCGGTTACACAAGTCATTCATTGTTCTAGTGTTGTCAAGTGGGATTTCCAGCCTATTGTTATTTTGCTCGCGTGACTTTGTTTACTGCTGAGGTTACGAGATTATTCATTATTGTTTTTTGCAGAAATTACATGGAGTTACATTGTGTTTATGATTCTTAATTTTGTAAAGTAGGTTAGGGACTCTGGAATTACATTTTTAAATATGTAATTTGGAAACGTAAAAGTATGGAAATAAAAAGGACCTTCCACGTTATTTTTCAAGGCAATTGATTACGTTCATCTTTGTTACTTTTAAACGGTGAATTAGTTTATTATACTTAATTTTGACATTTGGAAAAAGTTACTACCGATATTACTCATAATTTTTAAGTTTACTAGTTAGAAGTATTATCGCATTTAATTACGACAATAGTTTCCTTAATCTCCAGAATTAACAGCTAATTCACCAACAAAATCAATTGCTCTTTTTTTGGGGAGTAAACACGAGGCTATTTAGTGTTTCTACTTTGTAAAATTTTTTATGTTTATTCTCATGGCGCCTGGCAGCTGGGGGTGGACAGCGCTTCCGATTCGTAATCCTGAGGTTCCGGGTTCGATACCCGGTGGAGGCAGAGACAAATGGGCAAAATGTTTCTTTCACCCTGATGCCCCTGTTACCTAGCAGTAAATAGGTACCTGGGAGTTAGACAGCTGCTACGGGCTGCTTACCGGGGGGTGGGGGGGGGGGGGGTGTAACAAAAAGGAGGCCTGGTCGAGGACCGGGCCGCGGGGACACTAAAGCCCCGAAATCATCTCAAGACAACCTCAAGATGGATGCACGACAGCTCTGTGATTTAGTTCACAAAGCTGTGTTCTTGTCACCCAGATCTGTTGTATTTTTATGATCCTATGACGGATCATTATTGCTGGTTCAGGCAAAAGGTCTACACACTTAGGGAGCGCTTCGCGAGCCTCGCCCCATCCTCACCACACTCCAATACAAGAGAACTCAAAGGTATGGAAATTACTGTTAACTCTATAGCACAGTGTACGGTATGATGAAATGTACACAGTAGTGCAACGTACAACTATATATATATATATATATATATATATATATATATATATATATATATATATATATATATATATATATATATATATATATATATATAACAAAATAATCTAATGTACAATTTATTATGAACACTTTTGGAGAATATAAAATAAATAACACAAGTGTATATATACCAAAATATGCTGTAAACTATTACACTCAAAATGTGTTCACTTTAAAAATGTATTTTTGTTTTATTCTCCGCACAGTAATGTAATGTATACCATATTATGATGCATCAAATACTGCACTGCACAGTACACTGCAGTGTAAATCCTTAAATCGCGCATACCAATCAGTGTACATTACGAGGACACAACATTACACTGCACCATGTAAGATGTTTTACAGTGCTGGTGTAATGTTTAAATAATATTACACCGTACAGGTTAACCATGGAGTGTTCTGTGCGGGATTACACTGTACATGTTTACCAAGGAGGAGAAATTACAATGCGCTATAACACAGCATACACATACAGTATATTCTGCGTTATATTTAAAACGTACATGATATAACCCTGTACATACTACAATATGCGCAGTATTCAGGATACTGGGTATTACAGTGTAGACAGGAACTAAATGTACATTATATGTGTGTGTCCATGATCTTAAAGTGTACAATACATTAGATTACGGAGAGCACAGCATGATTACATGTAATATCGTATGTTATGTTGTTTTAAAGATGATAAATTATTACATTATGCACGGTATCAAAGTCTAAAGTTTGCAATACACTGCAATGATTAATTGATGAAGATTAAGCCACCCAAGAGGTGGCACGGGCATGAATAGCCCGTAAGTGGTAGATTTTTTTGGGGAGTAATTGTGATCTTTGGTCGTGGAGAATGTACATAACATGTACATTCAATGTACATAACTTTGATTAAATAGCATGCTGTACAGTGTAGTCAGGTGTACACTGCCTTCACCTATGCGACGTATCACAATATTCATAATATAATGTACACTTTACTTGTATTTACATAATCAGTGTAACTATTACCTTTGCACGGTGTTCAGCTGTACATTTAATTAAAATTACAGTACATTAGAATGCATGTAGACAACAAAATTAAGTACAGAGCGTTTCAACATTAAATTGTAATGCTCGTGATAAAATAGTACACAAACCTATTACAAAAAATAATATTTCATTGTACACTGTGCTATAATGTACAAAATTATAATAAGCACATTGGCGAAGTGTAGATTACAATGTACAAAATAATGTACCACCCATTTGATGTAATGCTTAACTCAGCGGAGGACCCATAAAAAACATGCTTTATAACCCCAAGGTTATAAAGCATCATTATATTATATAACTTAGATTATTATATAACTAATCTATATAATATATAGATTATATAACCCCAAGGTTATATAATCTATATAATATATAGATTATATAACCCCAAGGTTATATAATTACCCCGTCCAGGGTGACCCACGACGTGAGTTCGAGGTCATGGGATTGCCCCAAAGAGTTTCTCACCCATTAAAATATTTAGTGTGGAATGGCATGAATGTCTTTTCTCGTTCTGTTGTAGTTTAGAGTCAGAAACTGAACGATCGTGCAACACGTTATTAGGGCTTTCCTTCCAGGGCTACTTTCATTCCGTTGTTAGGGCTACTGTTTAAGCTTCCTCCAGGTTACAGGATGTCAATCAGGCAGTTAGACATGTCGCTCGACTTCGTAGGTGTTGACTGAAGAACGCGTTCGACTTCATTTCTGAATTCGGTATAATACGTTGGTCAATTGTATAATTTTGTTTTGCTTTCAAGTCGAGGTTTAACCTTGTTGCCTTTTGACGCAGTCCAAGGTTAGTTGGCTGTCAAAAATCTATTCAACATAGAAATTTAAAAGGCTTTGTAAATTATAATATCAGAGGGGTTCGTTCAGTAAGAGTGCACACACACACATATCAGAAGTATAGAATCCACTATACAAGTCACTGAAGACTAAATTTCATCACTTATTCCTTTATACACTAATAGAATGTTCTATGTAATCGGCAGTAATAGAAGAATGGCAATGACCGTCACTCTCAAGACGTGAGTAACATGTTTGGCCACACGAGTGTAATAAATCCCCAGATATGTTCACCACCTTATCTTCACTCACTCTCGGACGTAGGTTCGAATCCTCGTCACGGCCCTTGAGGATTTGTTCACTCAACAGTTGAGTTGCGCTTCGAGATCTTCAGGCCTAACGTAAGCTATTCTTAGCACCAGTTCATAAGACTTCTACAAACAATAACAACAACAACAACAACAATGCTATCACTGAAGTGTATTGATAATAGTCATAACTTTTTTTTAGAGTCTTTTAGATATAGTTAACTTTAATCTATAACATGTTTAGTTTAGCTTCACCATCTCTCGAGTTGCGTTTTCACTTCATCGAGAGAGAGAGAGAGATTTAATTAAGTTTTATTACAAAATAGACTAGAAAAGAGTCAGGGAGACAGTTTCTAAGCCACACAAACATCTCGTCGCCACTACTACACACACACATGACATTATCCATGAATCTTCTGGCACGTCAAACAGTCATCACTAGACAAAAATATATATACAGTCTACGATACACCACCATATAATGCCCAAGTTCACGTACTGGGAACTTTGTATGGATCCCATCGTCCCTGCCAACATTAATCGACTGACAATAACATCCACACACACACACACACACACACACGTCACGCCTAGGTCTTAGTGTAATGCGTTCTTAAAAAAGCTATAATTTCTTTACATTTCTTATTTATATCATAGTCTTAGAGATAGAAGTTGTGGCCAGGCGAGGAGAAGACGGGTCCTCCGCGTACGTGTTCTCGTGGTATAACGAAGCAGGCAGCACACAGGCGAAGCAGATGCTCGAGAAATAGGAGAGTTTCGGGACCCAGAAAGATTTTCACGTTCCAAGATAGTGGAGGTCGATGGGAAATGGTGGTTGGGGGAAGGGGTGAGGGGAGTGAGAGGGAGAGAGGGATGGGAAGAGAAGGGAGGTGTGGAAGGGAACTGAGCGTTGTCACATCATGGGTCATACTATTTATTGACGTCTTACATGTGGACACTGTATGTGACAGTAGCAACAGGTGAATCAACAGTGCCAGGTCTCGTGAGTGGACCAAACGTGACACCACACCAGTACTGTGCCATGGACCAGCTCGTAGAGTGCCAGTGCCAACGGTGGTAGCAGATTCTCTTAAGAGATTACTCAGTTTTTAGTTCCTAGCGGAGAGGGAGGGAGAGAAAGAGAGAGAGAGAGAGAGAGAGAGAGAGAGAGAGAGAGAGAGAGAGAGAGAGAGAGAGAGAGAGAGAGAGAGAGAGAGAGAGAGAGAGAGAGAGAGAGAGAGAGAGAAAAAAAAAAAAATTGTATCACAACTAAACATGTGTTCCTCAAAGCATAAGACCGTTATTACAGAGTTTTCCCACTATAGCCTTCGCCTTCTTGACCATGGTTCATTGGTCCCTTTGCCTCATGGTGTATTGGTGTACTGACCATCTCTCCCGGCCTCGTCTGGTCCGGTTAGCTGACGGGGTCACTGGACCAGCGGCCAGGAGCATCGTGCGGCCCAGTTCTGGAGTCCGTTCTGGTGTCTCATGAACTGGAAAGATAAAAAGGGAGAGGCGAGGGCTACAATCTGGAATTGATCTCCTATTTTACGAGAGATTAGCGTTCTTCTGGACGGGCAAGACTAGTGTCAGTGTCTTCTCCTCCTCAGACAGGTCGGGAAAATACTACACGCAACTTTTTTTGTATGTGTTGTCGGGGGGGAAAGTAATTACACCCCGACGAAGAGCAACGGGTCTTCCCACATGGAGCGAAAATTGTTTTTTTGTTTTCCTCCCGCCTTATTTCAAACAGTAAAATGATAAGGGGGGAAAAGGGTAGGTAGGAGGAGTAAGGGCAGAGAAAAAAATTGTTTCCCGGAAAGAGAGTTTATCAAGCAAGTTAGAGCGGACAGGTTAAAGGACCGTGATGGATAGATCACTGGCGGGGAACGAATTATGCTATACGTTACAGTGTAACCTTCCCCCTCTCCCCTATCCTCCTGCCCAGGGGATACCCATCCCTCCCCTCTCTTCGTTTCGTTAAGGTTTACCATAAACAGGGACCTTCCCTTGATTGAAACCCACAACAGCTGTCAAAACTCCCAAGTACCTGTTTACTGCTAGGTGAACAGCGGGATCAGTTGAAAGGAAACGTGCCCAACCGTCTCTGTCCCGCCTAGGGATCGAAACCGGGATCCTCGATCGTGAACCGATAATGTAAACCACTATGCTACAAGGACCCATCTGTTTTTCTGGGTCTCCCTCTCATCTTTCTACTCTCCAGATCGGAGGGTAGATCCTTTTATCTACTCTCCAGATAGGAAGTTATCTTCCTACTTCCTACTCTAGATAAACTAAATTTATAGAGGATTATTTCCAACATTCGGTGCTTTTTTCAATATTTTTTTTACCTGAATGTTACAAAATGACTTGGACTTGTGTATGTGTCTGATGTGCTTCCTAGTCAGAGCCATTCCCCCACCACTCTTTATAGTGTTAGGGGGATAGGCTACGAGAACAGTCCGCAATTTGTTACCCATAACAACAAACCATCGACCTTGTCAACAGCCTGAGTCGATGGAATTAATGACTTGGTATTAGTCTGAATAAGACTTCTCTATGAAAAATATGATAAACATGTATGGCCTTAACAGCGACACCTGCAAGTTCATTCAAAGTAACACCAATATAGCTGGCTATACGACAAAATAAGGCTATTTTAAGCCTAATAGAGATGAGAAACAGCCAGTACTGGATTTCAACCACCACAGGATGCGAAGGGTTTAAAGATTACAGAACCACGCAGGTAGTGGGAGACACAAAACTATCTGGTGGAGATCATATAAAATACCATAAAGCTCTTCTGTCAAGATGGCTGTTCCTAGGGGCCAGGCGGCACATGTAGGTTTGGTCAGAAAAACAACAAAGACAGCAGACTCTGACCCATCTGTGAGCAGACCAACAGAAGGTGAATGGACGACGACGTTTCGGTCTGTCCTGGACCATTCTCAAGTTAATTGTGACCACAATCGACTTGAGAATGGTCCAGGACGGACCGAAACGTCGTCGTAACTTCGCCTTCTAGTGTGTGGTCTGGTCAACATACTTCAGCCACGTTATTGTGACTCATCGCCTGCAGACCAACAGAATGAGAATGACAAGATAAATACTCGCGGGGTACAAGCTTTCACCTTGTGGGTCAGGGCCTTGCAAAAATCCCAAGTGGGACCTTCCATGGGGGGGGGGTCTTGGCAGGAACAATATGAGGAGAGAGGCTGCATATGTGTACGTGGGGGGAGGGGGGAGGGGGAAGTGTCTCGCAAACGGGCCATTCTGAGAAGAAACAAGGCCTATCAAAGGGGCAGTAGGCACAACACTGCACAATCAGGAACCCGAGTTTCGTAGACAATAACAACTGCAGTAATCCTGCAGAGACAGATTGATTGATAAAGATTAAGCCACCCAAGAGATGGCACGGGTATGAATAGCCCGTAATGCAGAGACTGCAGAGACAGATTGATTGATGAAGATTAAGCCACCCCAAGAGGTGGCACAGGCATGAATAGCCCGTAAGTGGTGGCCCTTTTGAGCCGTTACCAGTATCAAGAGCTGATACTGGAGATCTGTGGAGGTGCGACTGCACCCTGCGTGACGGGAGATGTCTCCCGTGTGCAGAGACAGAACGCGTGTCAACATATAACATGAACGGGATACAGAGAAAGGGTTGAGGGGGCAGATTAGGGGTGAGATACAGAGAACAATAAGTCATGCTTATAAATGTCTAAAATGACCTGGAACTGACATTTTTCTTGCAAATGTTACATAATAGATAAACCTCGTTAACTCTGGGAGAAAAACTGCACTAAGTAAAAAAAATATTTACCTGAAAAAATATGAGTTCGAGACAACATTTAGTAAATTTCTTCATTCACCTCTTACATTACGTTTTATAGCATTTGCATAAACAAATATAAAAATAACAGAACTGATACTGAAATCCGATCTTAATTAATACGAAACTATATATCCAAGGTAGTATTTAAAGTTATAAAAATCTCATTTATGCACATTTATAACGAAGATCATATTTTTTAATAATTTAAGAATTGGGTAAACAAGTGAGTTGTTGATGAAATAATACGGCAGGCTAAAGCTTAATGCTATAAAGACTGAGAAGACACAAGCTAATGGTCGGCTTCATTGGTATTTGAGTTTAAATGCAAAATAAGCCATAACAAATGAATCACGTCCAAACCAGGAAATAAATTCACAACTTCACAACCAGGAAATATAAGTCCTGCATATCATATGAACCAGATTGTGACTTAGCGGGGTAAACCAGTGTCACCACTACAACCTCTCCATCAACCATGTACAATATCACTGGAAATTGTGGCATTGAAGGCGTCAATGCCACGGCAATTACTAAAGTGGCAACTATCTATGCACATCTGTCAAGCCCAGTACTTCCATATACACCCGTCAAGCCAGTCTACGATGTACACCCGTCAAGCCAGTCTACGATGTACACCCGTCAACCCGTCAAGGCCAATCTAAAATATACACCCGCCAACCCGTCAAGTCGAGACGTACCTGGCAGGGAAGGGCGGTAGTGGAAGTACTACTAGAGAGGATCACCCGTGGCTCGACTACCGCTCGAGGACTCTCCATGCGAGGCACTTGTGGTCCGCTGCTTCTGCGGCCGCAGCTGGTGTTGCTTGCCGGCCTCAGGGGCCTTCTTCAGGATGGATTTTAAAGGTTCTGCAGAAGCACCAGCCGGTGGCTGTTTCGCAGGTTGATCACTGTAGGACTGGTGACCCACGCCGTAAGACTTGGACACCTTAGCAGCAGAAGACTTCGCGGACGACGTGGTTGGACGCGCTGCTGGAGGAGGCAGCGTCGTAGTTCCTACTGGTGGAGGTGGAATGACTTCCATGGGTGGGGGGATGAGTTCCACGGGGGGTGGAGGAGCCACGATGGGGTGGGGTAGTGGCCCAACGTGAGATGGAGGTGGAGGAGGGCCGCCCACCGCCCCAAGGGCGTCGGTGCAACGGTCCAATCTGTGGGAAGCAATGTCTGAATCAGGTTATTGTTCTGTACCGTTCCAGCGCCAGGTAAGTCCACTACGGGCTCACCATAGCCTCCCAAGCAACAATACCACAGAAACACGTGACTTTACAACACATGATGATGATGAACACATAAAGCCACTATTACGCTTTGCGTAATAGTGGCTTTAGGCATTGTATGTACTAGCTCTATCTATAAATTAATCTATCTATCTATAATCAACTTTTTTGTATCTCACCTTGTATGTATGTATTTTACCTGAACAAATATTTGTATTTGTACATAAAACTTCGACGAAATCGGCAAAATAAGTAACATCTCGCGCACTATCACTCACCACAAGTTCACAGCAATACACACCAATTTTTACCCAGCACAGAGGCCAGTATAACCAACGTAACGTGGTCAACCCGTTCTCGCACTTGCTTTCTGTCAATATTGGCTTATTTAATAAGTGCATATGTGACATACTAATTGATTGTAAATATTTTAGTTTACCTTGAAAAGCTTCATAGAAAACACCGACCTCACCTAACCTTCTTAGTATGTTAAGATAAGCATGTTATTGATTCTTATTTACAATTATTACCTATCCCGTCGTGGTGACCTTCGCAAGATTCCTTCATCACAAAACATCAGTTAATACGTGAAGACAACAAGATGACACTGAGAACACTTATATGCACCACAATAACACATCATTCAGTAATCTAAGAGAAAAAAAATGAAACTACTCTGATTTAAAACTCAAAATATAGTGGCTATATCTGTTCACACTGCAATCACTTTTATGTACTGTATGATGTATTGGAAAACAGTGGGCCTAAAAAAGCCATATTAGTAGAAGTGATCAAGGGTCTGATCTTCTGCTCTTATTTCCTAAATAGGATTAAAACCATTTCACTTCCTGGAATAAACTCCCCCATATATTATTCTCGCAATTCAGGTGTTGGAGAAAGTATTTCACAATCTTTTTAAATGAAAAATAGCAACACTGGATGTCATTTTTATTTCAGATCAGGATTACATAAGTAAGATCCATTAATAACTCGTCAGGCAATTTCAAAATATAAAGATTTGTAATCTTTTGTAATCCTCAGTGATATTCTCTGATCCCTTGAAATCTAAAAAAATTCTGCAATCTTTGATGACCAAATTTCTTGTTATATATATATATATACATACATATATATATATATATATATATATATATATATATATATATATATATATATATATATATATATATATATATATATATATATATATATATATATAATCATTTTGAGGCATTTTGTGTATATAGAAAATGTTAAAAAGACAGGAGGTAGGCTTCCTGTCTTTTATGAACTGAACTGGTATCGTACATCCTAGTTAGAGATATTTATATTAATTCCGTAGTGTCTTCGAAAGTCCAAAGTGAGATCAGATCAGGCCCAAAAGAATCTAGAGTTCGGAAATTTTACATCTAGATTCCGCTCCCAATGGACCTAGAGCTCCATTGGATGTAAAGTCCGGCCCCACTGCATTTAGAGTAGAACTACATTGGATCTAGAGTAAGGCCCTAATTGATCTAGAGTCTAGGCCTACTACATCTAGCTGTTGTGGTTAGCATTGTCTCTTGGCCCAGGTTCTGGTAGCTGACGCTTCCTGGAACTTCTTGGTAGATTCTCCCCAACCCAGTGGGTTATCTTATCTTGAGAGATAAGATAGCACCGTTTCAATTTCCGTGACTTTTGCGTCGCTTTCAATCCGATTACTTGGTCATTTACTGGCGGAATTCTGCCGATGTGGTTGGGCAATCTGGGCTGATTTTTGGCCTGTGGTGTTGTGTTGTTTCCTGTTCTTATGGGCATTTTCTTTGCTACATGTTACGGCAACTGTCCTGCGGCGCTGTGGTAGTTATGGCGTGGTGTTGTGGTGAACCGTTAATGTGTAGTGGTGTGCTGGTGTTACTGGTGTGGTGTGGTGTGGTGTGGTGTGCTGGTGTGGTGTGGTGCGGTGTACTGGTGTGTTATGGTGTTACTGGTGTGGTGTGGTGTGGTGTGCTGGTGTGTTGTGGTGCTACTGGTGTGGTGTGGTGCGGTATACTGGTGTGTTGTGGTGCTACTGGTGTGGTGCTACTGGTGTGGTGTGATGGTTCTGGGGTGTTTTAGTTTGTCTAGCCATTTGTACTTTCTGGAAGAGGTGTGGTTTATGGCGCTGGAAGAGCTAATATTGCTGGTTTAAAGGAGTTTGACGTTAGTGTGCAGTGTTTGATCACTGGTTTAGCTGTGTTGACGGTGTTAGTGTGGTGTTCCCGGTACTACAAATGGAATACATGGAAGTTGGTGACATTGATCTGTTAATATGTCCTCCTCTGTCTCTTTTATGTCTCGAATGAAGATATAATGTTTGTTTAGATCACCAAGTGTTCCCTGCTTGCGAATCTCACATTACAGACCTTAGTTACATAGGTTTCATAGTACTGTACCTCTGCTGCATCTTCCAGGAGCTATGACCATATCTGGTCTGGCCTTGGCTATATCTAATTGTGTTAAGTGCTTATTGACTGTCTTCTCAGTTAATTGCGTACCACCCATTATAGCTTTGATGCTGCCATCGCCATCACCCGCGCCAGGCCTCCATCCTGGTCTGAACTTAAAAGATTCCGGGGATTTCCTGTTGAGTTCTTCGCAGAGCTCCTTGTCGTTTTCTGCAACGACATTCTCATCATTTTTGGTTTGATTACTTGGTGTCTTACTGCCGGTGTTCATCTTATATAACTGTGCAAGAGTACGAGTTTTTTCTTTGGCTTTGGTGAGTATGTCATTTGTAAACTACTGTTTAAAACTACCTCTCTCCTTCTTTCCTGATTCCAGAGCACTTGGATCAGATTCACGAAGCAGTTACACAAGTACTTACGAACCTGTACATCTTTCCTCAATCTTTGGCGGCTTTGTTTACAATTATTAAACAGTTAATGAGCTCCGAAGCACCAGGAGGCTGTTTATAACCATAACAACAGTTGATTGGTAAACTTTTATGCTTGTAAACTATTCAATAAATGTAACCGAAGCCATCAAAAATTGAGGAAAGATGTACACGTTTGTAAATACTTGCGTAACTGGTTCGTGAATCTAGGTCCAGGTCCCTGAACATACACAAGAGGGTGACGTTGTTACACTCTAAGGGTGAGTGTAGTCAATCTGAGGTCAATGTATATTGCTCTTCCTTACAGGAAGCCCATCCATTTCCTTTATCCATTGCTTTCTCTTTAAATATTCACTGATGTTTTTAGCCTCCATCTGGAAGACCTGCCTCGCTACAAGGAGAAGTGAGACCTGCAAACACTCACAGCCTCATCATTGACCATAACCATCACAGGCTTCAACTGAAGGAGTCAACAGAGACCCCGACCGCTGCCTGGCTCCTCCCTACTCTCCATAACCCTATTACTGCATCTCCCGTTCTCCTCACAGCGGACGTTCCGGCCAGCGCCTTTGTCTCTGATGCCTGTCCAGTTAGTCTCTCTCTCAGACATCCGGCCCCCCAAACCCCATACCATCTGTCACTGTAATTGGTCCTGGGTCGAGAAGGACTCTGTATATCCTACTGCTCAGCTTCCCAGAATTCCAGCCACTTAACCCTCCATCCGCTGGTCGGGTCCTGGCTTGGGACCTGCTCTTCCAAGTGCAGCTACTCTTTGGTCTTACTTATGCCTCATTATTCCCCTTTTCCTCCTATCGCTTTCAGGGTTTAATCCTGTTGAGTCTGCATTCAAAGGCGGTGGATAGAAATACACAGTTTTCCCGTGCCATTATCAATGATGATGTTAGATAATTTGTTTAACACACATACAAACACACACATGAATGAATATATAAATATATGAAGAATGTCGGAAAGAAGCTATGAATAGAATATTGCCTCTAAAGCAAAGACACGACCAAAACTACTACATATTCAAATAAGAAGGAAAATGACAGTGAACGCTTCATGCCGACCTGCATGAAGCGAGACCGTCACTCTACCGTCCAGCCCAAGTGGTTGAGATCAGGAGTCATTGCTTAGATAACCAACGGATAGGAAAGCGAGGTCCAAGAACTAATGCTCGACCCAGCAAGCACAAATAGTTGAACACACACACACATTAAAAATATGGTATATTTTAGTGCTGAAAACAGCTTCCCTCCCCCCCCCCTCATAGCACTACCTCTCTCCACCCCCCCCCTACACAGCACAACCTCTCCCCACCCCCCCCCCCCCATACAGAACAACCTCACTCTCCCCCCCCCCGTCCAGACAAGTGACCTGGGTGATGCTGGCAGTGTCAGAGAGGAGACAATTGAGAGTGACAGCAGTCAATCACAGCAGCCAGCCTCTCCTGGCAGCCCGTCCTCACCTCACTCTGCATCTCTTCTCACTAGAATACCCAGCTCTAGCTCAAGCTTAAGCTCATCACATGCAGCTTTAGCTGCCTTATCCGTATTATCTGCTATATAGTCGTAATGACTTAGCACTTTCTCCTGATATGTTGACCAGACCACACACTAGAAGTTAAAGGGACGACGACGTTTCGGTTCGTCCTGGACCATTCTCAAGTCGATTCTCAAGTTCTCCTGATAGTTCCTTCCCTACTTTCGCTAGATCTGGACATGGATTGTTCCCTTCCTACTGCTTTTGTTTTCAATCGAAAAACGCCGAATTTGAGTCCTTAGCATCTTGCCCATTACAATCTAATGATTACTTTTTAATAAAAAACTCTTGAGATAGGGAATCTTCCAGATGTCTGGAAAAAGGCAGACATAGTCCCAATATTAAAGAAAAAGGGATAGAAAGGATCGAAGCACTAAACTACAGACCAGTGTCATTGACAAGTATTCCTTATAAAGTGCTGGAGAAAGTAATCAGGTCAAGAATGGAGGAACATCTGCAGAGGAATAATTATGTGACAAAGAATCAGCATGGATTTAGAAATGGAAAGTCATTTTGACAAACGACTAAGTTTTATGACAAGGTTACAAAAATAAGACAGGCCAAGGAAAGCTGTATAGACTGTATTTTTGTAGCGTCAAAAAGCATTTCGCATTGTTCTTCCCCCTCCCTTCCATGAACTACTGTGGTATAAGATAGGGAAGCAGACTGGGATAACTGGGAAAAACACTGAACTGGGTCAAGGAGTAACTGAAGAACAGAAAGCAAAGAGGCACAGAGAGATTGTTTCATGCTGGAAGAATGTATCAAGTGAGGTCCCACAAGGCGCCGTCTTGGGACCGCTGCTGTTTCTAATTTATGTCAACGACTTACTCGAGGGAGTGAGCTCAGACATGCCAATGTTTGCAGATGATGCAAAGGTGATGAGGGACATGAAAAAAGAGATGAGAACTCCAGGATATTAAAGGAGGACCTGAAACTCCAGGAGTAGTCAAACAAATGGTTGCTTGAATTCAATCCTAACAACTGATAATGGGAAAGGGAGAGAGAGAGGAGACCAGAAGGCATATACACCATAAGGGTAAGGCTAAGAATCAGAAAGAGAGAAAAGGAAATGGAACTGTATATTATTCCGATACTCACATCGGAGGCACACATAAGCAGGATAACATCAGCAACATATGAGACGCTGGCAAATATAAGAACATCGTTTAGAAACCTAAATCAGGATTCCTTCAAGGCAATCTACACAACATTTGTTAGATCAATACTGGACTATATATTACCTGCACGGAATCCGCACTTTGTGAAGTGTAAAGCCAAAACTGAAAACGTACAAAGATTTGCAACAAAATTGGTGCCATAGATAAGAGAGTTAAGCTACAAAGACAGGCTAATGGAATTAAATCTCACAACCCTAGAAGACAGAAGGAACAGAGGTGATATTGATGACCAGACCACACACCAGAAAGTGAAGGGACGACGACGTTTCGGTCCGTCCTGGACCATTCTCAAGTCGATTGTGACCATTCACAATCGACTTGAGAATGGTCCAGGACGGACCGAAACGTCGTCGTCCCTTCACTTTCTAGTGTGTGGTCTGGTCAACATACTTCAGCCACTTTATTGTGACTCCTTGCCTACACAGAGGTGATATTATCAAAACATACCAGATGCTGAGGGGAATATATAATGTAAACAAGGATAGCCTCCAGACTGAGAGAAAGCAGGACAAGAGGACACAGGTGGAAGCTGGAAACGCAAATGGGCTGAAGGAATGGAAGGAAATACTCTTGCCCTGTACGAGTAGTTAGCAAGTTGAATGCTCTAAAAGAAGAATTTGTGGAAGCCACCTCCATCCACATTAAGGCCAGATTCGACAAAGAATTTGATGGTCATAAAAGTTAAATTGAAATGCGACGAGTACAAAGCTAATAGTAGGAGGGGGCATAAAGACCAGGGGCCAGATTCACAAAGCAGTTACGCAAGCACTTACGAACCTGTACATCTTTTATCAATCTTTGACGGCGTTGTTTACAATTATTAAACAGTTCATGAGTTCCGAAGCACCACGAGGCTGTTTATAACAATAACAACAGTTGATTGGGAAGTTTTCATGCTTGTAAACTGTTTAATAAATATAACCAAAGGCGTCAAAGATTGAGAAAACATGTACAGGTTTGTAAGTACTTGCGTAACTGCTTCGTGAATTTGAACCCAAGACCTCACTGCTCTGTAGACATTGACAACTAAGTACAGATAGGTGAGTACCACCACCACCACACCTACTACCACCACGTGAGTGAAGGCACTCACTGCAAGAGGCAGCCAAGCCACACATGAGAGTGCACACTGCAAGAGGCAGCCAAGCCACACATGAGAGTGCACACTGCAAGAGGCAGCCAAGCCACACATGAGAGTGCACACACTAAACATGACAAACAAAAACCGGACAACCTCAAGTGAGAAGGAGGAGGAAGAGGAGAGGAGGAGGAGGAGGAGGAGAGCAGCAGTCGAGGAATGCTGGTTATGAACCCTGTGAGATATATGGGGTCTGGCCTGGGGAGGGGGAATGTCAGCTATACACACACCATCAAAATATACACAATTTTAAGGCCAGGTTAGAGAATTTACATTGGAATGTTAATGGTAACCCTACAACCCTAGTGTAGGTTGTATATGTGAGAGAGAGAGAGAGAGAGAGAGAGAGAGAGAGAGAGAGAGAGAGAGAGAGAGAGAGAGAGAGAGAGAGAGAGAGAGAGAGAGAGAGAGAGAGAGAGAGAGATACATGAATCACAAATGCTCAAAATCAAATCTTGACAATACTGTGCATCCACCATGTCCCACAAAATGTAAAATTAAACGTTCTCAGAAGGCCAGGATGCTAGTGAGCCATATATATATATATATATATATATATATATATATATATATATATATATATATATATATATATATATATATATATATATATATATATATACATATATATCAAGGGACCCAAGAGCTGCAAGCTTTCTTTTCCAGCGCCTCAGTGTGGCGATACAGAGGGGAAATGCGCACTGCATCCAGGGTTCCTGCCCGCCATCTGAGGAGCTGGAGGAACTCGACAACCTATGATAAATAACCATCTTTGTAACCCATATGTAACTCCTTTTTGTAACAAAGTTCAAATAAAGTAAATATATCTGTGTACATACAAAAGAATGGGGGTGGTAGGAGAAGATAATATTACTGTTCAGTGAGAAACCACAAGGTCTCCTCTGAATACTTTTTATTTTCTTCTCCGAGGCTATGGGTCCCCACATTGGCACCAGAGGTGGTACCCTCACAAACTTTATATATATATATATATATATATATATATATATATATATATATATATATATATATATATATATATATATATATATATATATATATATATATATATATAAAATATAACTTGTTCAGGAAAACTTTCCTGACACCAAATAAAACTGCTTGAAAAAGATGAGTGCGGTCTACGCCTTCATATTTCCACTTACGGACCGTCAGCCCAACGAACTCAATTTAGAGGCAAGACAACACCCTCCCTCTCAAGGCGCCTAACACCGCTCAAACAGCAAGGCCCTGTCAAGGAACATAGTCTCAACACATGACCAGATCCTCACCAGACATATCCTCACAAACACCACCAAAATAATCGACAATTCAGCAACAACGGAAGACTGTCTCTCTGTCAGTCATCTTGGCGTGATTCAGCGAAGCATAATGACTGCACGTGACCTCGTATGACCTTTTCTTGATCAGCAATACACTTTGAAGGCTATTGACCTCGAATGATCAGCTTAACCGTGCGAGTAATCAGGGCTGACCGATAGATACAGCTCAACCCAAGGCTGATCTGTGATGACCCATGACTGCTTCCCGCCAACCTTTCAGCTGAACTGCCGCAGAACTGCTCAGTTCTGACCTTGGAACTGCTCCTCGGTGGTGCCCCCTGATGACCCCGAGACTGACCTGGGCGTCGATCCCCGGTGGTGCTGGGCCTCATACGACTGCTTCATATGGATGAGCTGCTCCTGAAGGCAGCGGTACTCCTGAAGGAACTTCTCCAGCTGCGCCGCGTGGTACTCGAAGCGGTACGGATCCGATGGTACCTGTCCGCTCCCTGCACCACCCTCTCCGCTCGTGCACTGGCTCCTGCAACGGTACACTGGTTTAGCGGTACAGTGGTAAAATAGCACTGCAGTTAATTGGTACAGTATTGAAATATGTTTCAGTCGTAATGGGGTACAGTGATGCAATACATCAGTGATATATGTAAATATATACTTGTATATCTACAGTGACCCAGTAATACAGTGACTAGTGAATTAGTGAGAATTAGTGATTAGGTGGATGTATCGGTGAGGAAAAGTAATGACATATAGACTAGGGTCATCCATACTGTTGTGGGAGGGCGTAGGATAGCATGGGAGGGCGTAGGATAGCGTGGGAGGGCATAGGATAGTGTGGGAGAGCGTAGGATAGCGTGGGAGGGCATAGGATAGTGTGGGAGGGCGTAGGATAGCGTGGGAGGGCATAGGATAGTGTGGGAGAGCGTAGGATAGCGTGGGAGGACATAGGATAGTGTGGGAGGGCGTAGGATAGCGTGGGAGGGCATAGGATAGTGTGGGAGGGCGTAGGATAGCGTGGGAGGGCATAGGATAGCGTGGGAGGGCGTAGGATAGCGTGAGAGGGCGTAGGATAGCGTGGGAGGGCGTAGGATAGCGTGAGAGGGCGTAGGATAGCGGGGGAGGACGTAGGATAGCGTGGGAGGGCGTAGGATAGCGTGGGAGGGCGTAGGGGGACCGTGGGTGATGGCGTCACTGTATTTTCCTTTTTACAAACCAGAATATCCCTCATAATTGCCTGCATAATGAGGGAAATTACCGCTTCAACGAGCATGTTTGTCAGTGGGGGTTTTGTTAGGTAGTGAGGGGGGGAGGGGAGAGGGATGGGAGAGGGATAGGAGGGAGGGAGGGAGGGAGGGAGGGGAAGGCATGGGAGAAGGATAGGAGGGAGGGAGATAGGGGTAGAAAGGGAACGACACACGGAGAAGGGACTTAGAACAGGAGATGAGAGGAAATACAGTTGGTGAAAAATGCTTGCGAGATGATTGACGGGGTTGTAAGAAGAGAGAGAGAGAGAGGAGGGGGGGGGAAAGACAGGGGTCAGGAAGGGACAGATGTAGAGGGAGAGCGGAAGACAGGAAGGGAAAGGGACAGGAAGAATGAGGGAGGGTTAACCCTCTTCCTTAATAAGAGGAATATAGATAAACCGGACTTCCCTAAATAAGCTTCCCAAATACTGCTTGTTTGATACCTGGATGATGGGGTTTTGGGAGTTCTTCTACTCCCCAAGCCCGGCCCGAGGCCAGGCTCGACTTGTGAGAGTTTGGTCCACCAGGCTGTTGCTTGGAGCGGCCCGCAGGGCCACATACCCACCACAGCCCGGTTGGTCCGGCACTCCTTGAAGAAAACAATCTAGTTTCCTCTTGAAGATATCCACGGTTGTTCCGGCAATATTTCTTATAGTCGCTGGGAGGACGTTGAACAACCGCGGACCTCTGATGTTTATACAGTGCTCTCTGATTGTTGAGCACTCCTAGCACTCTCTGTTGGCGCCATAAGACACCTCTCAAAGACCCACATAATCAACACTTTCGCAGCTCACACCCAACAAGTGAGTGATAACACCCATATAGAAAGTTGTATCCAACCACCAGAATTTAAAACAACCAAAGCAACCAACAACAAAGACGCCATAATGGAGGGCCACAATCAACAACCACAACAACCACAACAACTATACATACTGCAGCCCAGCCTCCTGAAATAATAGTACATATAGTAACTATTTAGTAGAAAGTATCAATATGTTTGGACCACCAATAAACAAATTTTTGGTACTATTAACTTCACAAGAGTCCGGAATGAAGCTAAAAAGCAAACTTAAAGAATTCCTAGGTTTAATATAGCATAGATATGCACGATATCCAGCCTAAGATAGCGTGTATTAGGGCCTAGGATTGCTAGGAGAGGTTAGGTTTGGTCTTATATTTATGTTGTGGTAAAAAAAAAAGTCCAGTTTTTATGCAACGCAATTTATTAAGCTGGACTTCACACGGAGCAATGGAACTCAGCAATAATATAGAGACATAAACCCATTTATTAACAACTATGGGAAAAGGAGGGGAAAAAAGATAATGATATTCAACCACAAAATTTGCCGGGACAACAGAGTTGACCAAGCCAACGACGGACCAGACAATTACAGTCACTAGAAACTGACCCCCACAAAATCCTTCATCATTTCCAGGAAAACTTCCTGGCTATTGAACTCCAACAACTAAAAGGTACAATCTTTATCGGAACGTGTTAGCAACCCCTCCCCCGAGACGACCCTATCTTCCCACGACCTACAGTACGAACTCATCAGGAGAACCAGACCTGCCTATTGTCTGGGGTGATCTAAATGCAAAACCCAGAGAACCTGGGAGATGAGAGAAACCACAAGGTAGGAGAAATCGTATATAACAAGGAAACCAAAATCTAACCCACATTATGCCCAGACTTCCCAACTTACGTCAGGCAAGGTCATAGGGGCCTCGTAGCCTGGTGGATAGCGCGCAGGACTCGTAATTCTGTGGCGCGGGTTCGATTCCCGCACGAGGCAGAAACAAATGGGCAAAGTTTCTTTCACCCTGAATGCCCCTGTTACCTAGCAGTAAATAGGTACCTGGGAGTTAGTCAGCTGTCACGGGCTGCTTCCTGGGGGTGGAGGCCTGGTCGAGGACCGGGCCGCGGGGACACTAAAAAGCCCCGAAATCATCTCAAGATAACCTCAAGATAACCTCAAGTGGCAAACCAGACTGTCAAAGACACCACATCTTCCAAAATGATCCCACGATCGTCCTCGCCCGTAAATCAACACAGCACCTTCCAAAACTCCCGCACAGGGAAAGGCCCAGTAAGCACCAGCGACCATCTACCAATAATAATGCCAATCAAGGAACCCAAACACTAACCCTCACACTAAGGACTTCAGTACACAAAAGCCGACTGGAAGGCCTCCAAAAGCTCTGCACAGGATATCAAACTTCAGAGGCAAGGAACATCAAGAATAAACGTGGTAGTAAATAAATAAGGGAGGAGGGGACGGACTCGTAAGTATGGGGGGTTAAGACACAAATGTTTCACACTGTTATTGTGTCTGTACAGCGCCATCTATTGATCTAAATAATGTTAACACTACTGGAGAGACGTTCTCCAAGGCACCATGATGCACCCGGAGAACATGTGCACACACATGGGACAAGAACATACGCACACTTGTAAAAATACATAAGTACACACGGACAACATTATACGTACACATGGACAAATACATACGCACACACAAACAAGAACAAACGTACACATTGACAAGAACATACGCACACAACAAACAGTCAAGTTACCCTTGATATTTACACGTTTAATAATAAAATTAAATAAATGGCTGACTCAATACACAGTTTCAAATGTAGATATGATAGAGCCCAGTAGGCTCACGTACACCAGTTGATTAACAGTTGAGAGGCGGGACCAAAGAGCCTGAGCTCAACCCCCGCAAGCACAACTAGGTGAGTATGTAGTTGTAGCAATGCAAGCAGAAAACACATCTGACTTCCACTTCAGATTCTTCCGTCATACACAACCAGGCTCCCACAGTTGAGTTCGATCCCCCGATGATCCAAGTGCTTGGACACTTCCTTCACTCTATCCTTCAATCCCAACTCTTATACTGTCCTTGTGTCTCTTCCATTTGCAAGCCAGTAAACAACTTAACGATTTCTTATTATTTCCTTAACGTTTCCTTTCCAAGAGTTTAAAAGAAATAAGAAATGCACTAAATACACTTGGAATCTTCTGTGGTTGGAATCAAGTCGGAATCGAAGGAGGTCGACCCTCTCATGGTACCTTGTGAGCACTCTCCGTCAGCGTGTCAGCAGGGGGTCAGGCTCTCACCTGTGGGCGACTATGAGGTCGTGAAGGTCCTGGGGGTGGTGGGCCGCCGTGAGGGCGGTGGTGGGCGGGAAGGGTTGCCGCCCACGCGACGGAAGATGGGCGTAGGCGAGGGAGGCCGCCTCGCTCAGCGCCAGATTGAGGGCACTTGATGATCTGCTGAAGGGTAAATGTCGTTACACCATATATATGGTTGCTACAGTAGTGATCACACACACACACACACACTTGACAGTTGAGAGGCGGGACCAAAGAGCCAGAGCTCAACCCCCGCAAACACAACTAGGTGAGTACACACACACACACTCACACATCTATTATAAACAAACTAATCGTTCCTGTCATTATCGCCCACAGCTATGGGAGGCAGGTTGGACCTGTCTATCTTAGTCCTGTCACGCCAGTGACTAACCAGAGTCACGCTAAGGAACACACTAGGAGCACACTAGGGACACACAACGGTCAGGCCAAGGATACACCAGGGGGGTAAAAATGAAGCCAACTCAGCCACGACGGCCACCAACGATAAAGAACAAGACCAGTAGCTCCTATTTACAAGTATCCATTCATAACAGGAACGTGACTCGCTAAATAAGAAATCATAACAAACAACAGATGCAAAACGAGTTCACTTAAAACGGGCAGCTCTCCACAAGATGGGTATAGGCTGGGGGAACAACCCACCCGGCCAGCACCCCTGGGCCAGCACCCCTGGGCCAGCACCCCTGGGCCAGCACCCCTGGGCCAGCACCCCTGGGGCCAGCACCCCTGGGCCAGCACCCCTGGGGCCAGCACCCCTGGGCCAGCACCCCTAGACCAAGGTGTTGACACAAGATTGGAGTTCGAATTAGTGCTCAATTTAACACAAAATCACTTGTTATGCTGGACACGAGACTAGTAGATAATACCAACATCTCGTTAGGTACTATTGTGTGTGTTGTAACCTGATAGAAAGGTACTGTAATTACCAAAGCGGTCAGTTACGCCGCTTTAGCTAACTACTGTATATCAAGAGGATATCATCAGAGGAATAAGCTAGGTTGGCCCACATAAGAACTGCCTCTGGAGACGTGTAAAGGAATCATTTAGAACCTTATATACCACATGTTTGAGACCAATCGTAGAGTATGCAGCTCCAGCGTGGAGTCCGTATCTAATCAAGCACAAGACTAAATCGAAGGCGACTCGAAACACTCAACCCTTGCAAGGACATGCTAGCATCAAGGGCATCCATCACCCTGTGCGAATTTTACTCGTTCCCGCTCCTCTACATAACCAGCGTTATTACCCACCTGTAGGCCGCATCCTCTGGGTATGTGGGTGCAGGCTGTGTGTTCAAGTGCAGGCCAGCCTTCCCTGCCTCCCGCTCCGGCCTACCTGACGCATCACTATTCACCCTCGCCCTCCTGTTACACAGATAAATGGATAAAATGAATAAATCAGTACCACAGCTTGAGTTGGCACCCAGGAGGCATAATGTAAATTCTCAGCTATGACTGTGAGAACTGACTTCATATATAAAGTATATTTCGAATGGGATTGGTACAGTGAGGAGAGAACTATGTATAATTCCAGGATCAAAATATATCACAATGCATCTGGTTTACTTACGTTCTGGGCAAGGTGCAGTAGGACGGGTTGAGTGTGTGCAGCGGCAGACTAGCGGCCTGGTACTGCTGCATCTCCTGCTGCTGCTGATATTGAGAGCGTGGCAGATCCAGCAAGTCTGGATATTGGCCGCCATTGCTGCTGGCACCTACAGATGTCTGAGATGCTGAACGGCCACACATTCTGTAGAAGAGCGCATCTCTTCCGTTGTAGAAGAGATGATCCTTCCATCGTGAAGGATCTTCCAGCGTCGTTCTCACCGTCCCGATCCCGGATTTAGGGATTTCCACGTAGGAGACGCTGCTGGGTGTGGTGGTAGGCAGGGGCACCGGCACCTCTAAGGTCTCTTGCCTTCGCCCTTCGGTGCTGGCCTCCAAACTTTTTCCGGAAGAGAATTCATCTATGGAAGCTTCTCGGAGCATCCAGGAAGACTGTGTCTGCTGGGATCTTCGCATCGATGGCTGGGGATCCTCCAAATCGTTGGTGGGGACTATATGATAACCGGCCATCTTGTGGGCATCTGTGCCCTCTGACTCTCTAGACGTCTGAGGTGTTACGAGCTTATCATCTTCTTGTTGTGTTGGACGAGTGGTGCGAACTTTACAATATATGAGAAGACACACGATAATCAGAATGCATACTAGAATTGAAACCCCACCGAAGACGCCACCTTTCATGTAAGAATCGTCGACATTAGCGATGCGCACCTCCGCCACCTCGTGCGACACCTGGAGGGTTAAATTAACCTCCCTGCGCCCCGCCCTATTCTCTGCAATGCAACGATATGTTCCTTGATCCGTTGGAATTACGTCTATAATGGTCAAGTTGGAAATAAACGAAGAATAGTAGGGTCCCATCTGCTCCACTACGGTGTAGCGCTGCGCCTCGCTAGTGTTCTGCAGGGGACTGTCACCCACCAGCCACGTGACGATCGCCTCCACCTCGGACTCCACACGACAAGTCAACGACACATTTTCTCCTTCAGCAGCCAACACTCTGGGAGCCTCCGCCGTCACCAACGGCGCACACACAAACTCCTCTTCACTCAAGAGCTGCCAGTCACGACCAGTCAGCCATCTAGGATGAGTGCACACGGCGGGCACCGACGCCGCTAAGTTGTGCTCCTGCATCCATTTTCGTAGTGGCCGTAGACGGCAATCACAGTGCCAAGGGTTACCCTCGAGGTGTATCACCCGTAGCACTGCTATCAACATAAGGTCGCTGGCATCCATGGTCATAAGTTTGTTATCAGATAAGTTCAGGACTTCAAGTCTCGACAGAGCTCGTAAAGCTCCTTCTTCGATCACAGCAATGCTGTTGTGGCTAAGGTCGAGGTGCACCAACTCAGGTGTGGGCACAAAGGCCAGTGGGGGGATGGTTGTGAGGCTGTTGTGAGCGAGGCGCAGTTCCCGCAGGCCGCCCATGTCCATAAGTGCTTCCGATGGCACTGTTCTCAAGAGATTATTGCTCAGATCAAGTTCCACAACGTTATTCAACATCCTGAAAGCGCCTTTTTCGAGTCGCATGAGGTTGCAAAAATTGAGCCAAACTTTCTGCAGGTTAACAAGGCCTGTGTACACAAAGGAATCCCGGGGAAGGATCCTCAGGTTGTTGTGGCGGAGATCAAGCACTTGTGTGGAGGGGTCAAGTCCTCGAGGAATATCAATAAAATGAGCGTCCCGGCAGGCCACCACTTCCTTCCCGTCACGCCACTTGCACTCACACACTTTAGGGCAGTCGGCCAGCGCCCCAAACTCGGTGATAGCTAACGCCCACAGCCACGCCCACAGAAAGGCAGCGCGCCTCCTGGGCTGACACACTGAGGGACGGGTCAGCGTCGTGGTCATGGTCCGTACTGGTGACAGCCGCCGCGACCAGTGGGCGGGATGGCCACCTCACTCATGCTGCCCACACTTCTCCCGCCGCCCACATACTCACCCAAGGAAAATCTTGCCTAAGTCTTCGACCTTCTCGTTGTTTACCTTTGGAAGACCCTGGCTATTTTAATGCGATTTCTTACTCTTGCATCATCGGTTATTTAACTCGCGCGATGAACACACGTCTCACAAGGAAAATGACGGCCAGAAAGACAGCCACAGAGCAAAAGTCGTCGCAAAAGAAACTTGCTGGAGAAGATCTTTCATTCACTAAACGAGAGCTTTCACTTACTGGAGGAGAGTTCTCCAGGTTGCCACTAATATGCCTGCTTCACTAAGTGTGTCCAGCAAAATAATAATTAAGCAATGAATATCATAGTGAAGAATCAGTTATTTCATGAAGTTATGAACTTCTTGATGGCAATAAGATGGTGATCCTCTGGCTCTTGCGGAGTTATGTCCAACTGCTGCTCTGATGCCTCACTCTACACATGAGTAAGAGTAACAGAGTCCAGCTTACTGACAGGGAGGAGACTAGCCATATGTCTCCTAGGAATGGTTCTCCTCAGATCTCCCTGTTGGTACTTGCGCACATCTGTTGCTGGCCTGTGGTCATCTGTTGTCTATCTGGAATTTTACTGTTGTATCCGATTAGAAATGAATATCGTTGAAAGATTACTACTGCTATTTTGTAATTGGCATATTAACTCTGCGGGATAAGAATATATCTGGATTATCCGGGAAAACTTCATCAAACTTGAAATGTTCGTGTTGTAGATTTAGTGGGTTTGGAATATTTCCGTTGTAGATTTGAAAGTTAGCTTTGTTGGCTACGAAATGCCAGTCGTAGGCTTGAAATGTTCACATTGTAGGACCGGAATGTTCTCGTTGCAGGCTTGGAATGTTCTTACTGTAGGGTTGGAATGTTCTCGCTGTTGGCTTAGAATGTGTCCGCTATATACTTAAAAATCTTCCATTTCAGATTTTGAATATACCTCTTCTAAAGTAAAATATTTCTGTCATGGAGATGGGATTGCCCTGCTGTACTCACCTAGTTGTGCTTGCGGGGGATTGAGCTCTGGCTCATTGGTCCCGAATTGGTCCAATCAATGAGACCAATTGGTCTCATTGGTCGCATGCCTGAGATATTGGTGCTGTAATCTTGGATGGCCCACTGAAAGTCATGAACAAGTTTCTTTGAAGATTGCTTCCATATAGAGTAACACCAATTTACAACCCTTGGAAAATTTCCATTGTAATTTAAAATGTTCCCGAAAAAATCCTTGGAAATTTGTTGTTGGCTTTGAAGGCTGTTGAAGGTTTGGACTGATTCTTTGCAGATTTGCAATTTCCCGTTGCAGACTTGGAATATTATTTGTTGCAGACTGCAAATATTATACGTTGCAGACTGGGGATTTGCAGTGTTTTATTGCAGGTTTGGAATGTTATTTTGCGCATTTGGGATATTCATTGCAGACTTTTAATGTTATTTTGCACATCTGGGATATTTATTGTAGACTTGGAATGTTCTGTTGCAGATTTAGGATATACTGTTGGAAGAATATTATTATAGGTATGATAATCTGGTCCAAGCTTAGAATACTGTTGTCGACTTTGAATTCTGTTGTAGGCTTGGAATGCTATACTGCTGTATGCTTTGAATGGTGCTATAGGCTTGGAAATATGCTGTAAGCCTGGAATGCCATTGAACGTGTTCACTGCTGTTGTAGGCCAGGAAATCTGCTTAGGCTCTGAATGCTGTTGTAGGTTAGGAATGTTCCGTTGTAGATTTGGAATATTATTTTGGGGACTTAAAATGATTTATTGCAGACTTGGAATGTTATTTGCCAGATTTGGGATATTCATGGCAGACTTGGAATGCTGATTTTCACAGAAGAACTTTGCGGGCTTGACTACGGAGATGCCACTTCCGGACTCACCCTGGAGAGAAATAAAAGAAAGAAATCTGTAAGTGAGTAGATGAGAAAAGGACGTAACCTTCACTATTTAATACCCCTCTATTTGAGAGAGAGAGAGAGAGAGAGAGAGAGAGAGAGAGAGAGAGAGAGAGAGAGAGAGAGAGAGAGAGAGAGAGAGAGAGAGAGAGAGAGAGAGACAGAGAGAGAGAGACAGAGAGAGAGAGACAGAGAGAGAGAGACAGAGAGAGAGAGACAGAGAGAGAGAGAGAGAGAGAGAGAGAGAGAGAGAGAGAGAGAGAGAGAGAGAGAGAGAGAGAGAGAGAGAGAGAGAGAGAGAGAGAGAGAGAGAGAGAGAGAGAGAGAGAGAGAGACAGAGAGAGAGAGAGAGAGAGAGAGAGAGAGAGAGAGAGAGAGAGAGAGAGAGAGAGAGAGAGAGAGAGAGAGAGAGAGAGAGAGAGAGAGAGAGAGAGCGCAAGGAGGGCAAAGACAAAAATAAAATATTATCCTAGCATTCAGTCATGACATCAAAAGTTGAACCACCATGACACAGTAACTCTTGCCAAGGTCGGTGAGCTCCCGCCATGTCTGACAGTCCGCCTTTGCAGCCAAGCAATTAAGGAAAAGAGAAAAGAATAGGTTCTAATAACATAAATGTTAAGGCATGGGGGAAAAAGCGAATTCAAAATCTCCCGTAAGCTAATCTCAACCTCAACTAAACTAGGAATAGGTTAGGTTATGATGGGCATAAGTTAGTGTAGATTATCATAGGTATAAGTTAGGATAGGTTATGATAGTCATATGCCATGGAATATATATTTTCATATCCCTTCTTTTAGTAGTTCCCGTTTTCTTATTTACGTAAAATCGATTTTAGACTAAATTGTTTATTTTCAAAACTAATTGCTCAATGTGTACATAAAGGTTCTCTGATTGGAGCTCTTCCGAGGTACGAGCTGTCCCATGTTCAGCTGAAAATTATATTGGAATGCAAACCACATTATCGTCCGCGATATAATTTAAGCTGTTTCGTTGCCGACTATAAACAAATCCTGTCTCATAATTTAATATTATTATATATAATAATTTTGTGTACGGGGAAGGCCTAGGCCATGTTAGGTGTTTAGGTTCTGTTGGCGTTTATCTGTATTTGTTATACGTGGGTGAAGCACCCATAAGGCGAGATTGGAGGCAAGCTGTCAACACTAAAATTCTGCAATTTTAATGTACCACGTATTCAAAATTTATATTTTCTTAAATTAAAGTTTTAAATGAGGATGGGGTTGAGATCTCCACAACCTGTCCTCAGTTTGGAGCAAGAATATTACCGACATGATATACTTGCTAACAAAAATTCCAGCCACAACACCACACTACACACATTGCACGCAACCATACACACACACATACACACACACACACACACACACACACACACACACACACACACACACACACACACACACACACACACACACACACACACACACAGGGGCCTCGTAGCCTGGTGGATAGCGCGCAGGACTCGTAATTCTGTGGCGCGGGTTCGATTCCCGCACGAGGCAGAAACAAATGGGCAAAGTTTCTTTCACCCTAAATGCCCCTGTTACCTAGCAGTAAATAGGTACCTGGGAGTTAGTCAGCGGTCACGGGCTGCTTCCTGGAGTGTGTGTGTGTGTGTGTGGGGTGGGAAATTAAAAAAAAAAAAAAAAAAAAGTAGTTAGTAAACAGTTGATTGACAGTTGAGAGGCGGGCCGAAAGAGCAAAGCTCAACCCCCGCAAAAACACAACTAGTAAACACACACACACACACACACACACACATTCGGGACCAAAGAGCCAAAGCTCAACCCCCGCAAGCACAAATAGGTGAGTACACACACATACACATCCGCTCACGGGAATGACTTGAGAACGACTACATTGTTAATACCATTATTTACTCTCTATCCATGGTTAGGTTAGGTTAGGTTAGGTTACTTTAGGTTAAAGTTTGATTAGGTTAGATGTCATTCCATTGGGTTACAATAATACAGTGTATTATTGACAATATTGTTTAAATATGGAATTCGAAAACTATTTGAGTGCACCCGAGAATTTCGGTGGTGCAGAAAACCAAATTCTTCAAAGAAAACATTTTCAGCATGTACTTTTTATATTTTAAACCAAAGATTTATAATTCAATGAAGTTATAACATGAGAATAATCTCCATTCAGGACAGAGTTTACATGTAGACTACTACTTAAACAATAAAGTGCTTTGAGACCATCACATATATCTAGAAAACTTTCCCGGTGGTTTGAAGGGGGTGTAGTTTCTCATGGTAATGGATTTCCTCTGAGAACGGGCTCTGTTGAGTACAGACTGGAATTGTAATTATTACAGCCCATCCTCATAAGAAAACTAGTTTTTAATACCATGTTAATAAAATTGATGACTGCGTCTGAGGGATACGGAAAGGACGAGAATATTCGATTGCTTGATTGATGAAGATTAAGCCACCCAAGAGGTGGCACGGGCATGAATAGCCCATAAAAAATGAATATTCGATTGAATGATGATTATATAATCGGTCCACACCTCACCAGCCTCTAGCAGGTAAGGAGGAAGTGTTAACACGTAATTAGGGAAAAGGTGTGAATTCATAATTAGTGGACTAAGTAGAATTAACAAACCCATCTCATTATCTGTACATAAGCTAATGAGAGTTTGGAGCAAGAAGATTACCTGACATGATATACTTGCTAAAAAAAATTCCAGCCACAACACCACACTCCACACACTCTACACACACACACACACACTGACAGGGTGGACAAAGACAAACTCTTCAGCACGGGTGGGACACGAACAAGGGGACACAGGTGGAAACTTAGTACCCAGATGAGCCACAGAGACGTTAGAAAGAATTTTTTCAGTGTCAGAGTAGTTAATAAATGGAATGCACTAGGAAGTGATGTGGTGGAGGCTGACTCCATACACAGTTTCAAATGTAGGTATGATAGAGCCCAGTAGGCTCAGGAATCTGTACACCAGTTGATTGACAGTTGAGAGGCGGGACCAAAGAGCCAAAGCTCAACCCCCGCAAGCACAATTAGGTGAGTACAATTAGGTGAGTACACACACACTCAAAACTCCAAACTTCAGCAGCCGTGAGAGGCGGAAGCGTTCAGTGAGATCCCAAGTTCAACTGACCCCACAATTTAAGGTGGACTCGAGGGATAGGGAAGTCAAGGGATAGGGAAGTCAAGGGATAGGGGGGTCAAGGGGGGATGGAAGGGGAATAGAAAGTGGTGGATTCGAACAAATACACAAGGTACAAAAAAATTACCACAACTGTTAATTGTAATCTTCACTGTAGCCTTCATTGGCTGATTAATAGGGATTAATGGGACAAAGAGAGAACGCCTGGATAATGTGACGGAAGAGAGAGAGAGAGAGAGAGAGAATTTTTTTCAGTGTCAGAGTAGTTAATAAATGGAATGCACTAGGAAGTGATGTGGTGGAGGCTGACTCCATACACAGTTTCAAATGTAGGTATGATAGAGCCCAGTAGGCTCAGGAATCTGTACACCAGTTGATTGACAGTTGAGAGGCGGGACCAAAGAGCCAAAGCTCAACCCCCGCAAGCACAATTAGGTGAGTACAATTAGGTGAGTACACACACACTCAAAACTCCAAACTTCAGCAGCCGTGAGAGGCGGAAGCGTTCAGTGAGATCCCAAGTTCAACTGACCCCACAATTTAAGGTGGACTCGAGGGATAGGGAAGTCAAGGGATAGGGAAGTCAAGGGATAGGGGGGTCAAGGGGGGATGGAAGGGGAATAGAAAGTGGTGGATTCGAACAAATACACAAGGTACAAAAAAATTACCACAACTGTTAATTGTAATCTTCACTGTAGCCTTCATTGGCTGATTAATAGGGATTAATGGGACAAAGAGAGAACGCCTGGATAATGTGACGGAAGAGAGAGAGAGAGAGAGAGAGAGAGAGAGAGAGAGAGAGAGAGAGAGAGAGAGAGAGAGAGAGAGAGAGAGAGAGAGACAGAGAGAGAGAGAGAGAGAGAGAGAGAGAGAGAGAGAGAGAGAGAGAGAGAGAGAGAGAGAGAGAGAAAGAGAGAGAGAGAGAGAGAGAGAGAGAGAGAGAGAGAGAGAGAGAGAGAGAGAGAGAGAGAGAGAGAGAGAGAGAGAGAGAGAGAGAGAGAGAGAGAGAGAGAGAGAGAGAGAGAGAGAGAAAGAGAGAGAGAGAACGCCAGGATTTGTGCAAAAACTTTCCATGTGAAACATTTCCTACATTTTTTCCTTTCACCGCTCTGATTGGTTGCGAATTTTATGAATATATGAGACACTGGAAATGGCAGAAGGCGTCGCCGATTGCCAGACACAACAGTGTGGTGAGAGCTGGTGCTGTGTGGACGTCTCAGCTGTTAGAAGGACGTAGAGGGCGCCTACATGTTTTAGTTATTAGCAGGATATAAAGGACGCTGAACTGATTGCACTACTGTTAAACACGAAATAGATAATGTATATATATATATATATTACTCAGGAACAAGCCACATCAAAGATAATCTATCACCTTATATCATCACAGTAAAGGAGCGTGGCTACTTAGAACACATCTCAAGTAGGTTGACCAGACCACACACTAGAAATTGAAGGGACGACGACGTTTCGGTCCGTCCTGGACCATTCTCAAGTCGATTGTGTCGACTTGACACAATCTACTTGAGAATGGTCCAGGACGGACCGAAACGTCGTCGTCCCTTCAATTTCTAGTGTGTGGTCTGGTCAACATACTTCAGCCACGTTATTGTGACTCATCGCCTGCACATCTCAAGTAGTTTTTTTTAACTCAAAGATGAACTGTGTCAAACAGCAACCTCTCCTCATTGGACGAAGTGCTGGATTAAGGATCGACATTCTACGACACGAAACATGACACTTTGTACAATATTAGGATTTTTCACCAAAGTGCTTCTTCAAAGTGCAAAGTATAAAACTATATACTTTTAACAAAGTAT